ATCTCGTGTTCCAGGGTCCGAGCTGGGCTTAGGTTTAGTATTACTGTACACGAAGCTGCATGCAACCACCTACAGACAAAGTATTACATTGAAACTTGTGAAGAAAGTAACTTATTTGTAGTTTAAACAAAGAGCATCTTCCTAGTAGTTTAACCGAGGGGTATTATTTTCTATGAAATTCTACTCTCAGAAAAGAAGTAACTTATTTGTAGTAGAAGGGGAAATCAGTTCAGAATCTAAAGCTTGGTTGGTGGTTTGGGAACATTAGATAAACGTTGAATGGGTTTAAAGTGTTCGGTGTACAAGTCATAACCTTTTTTTGTACTATGTAAATTGTAAAGACTAAAGACAAACTAGAAGCCTGTCGGTAATATAATTACATTAACAGAGAGGAAAAAAAAAAAGGAGGAACTAATTTGTGTTGGATGAACAGTAACAATAAAATATGTACCTGCACTGGGCTTGCTGCGGTAAGCCTACCACCAATTGCACCACCGATAATATGGCCATCTGGACTACAAACAGAAATGCTTATACCACCCGTCCGATTGTTGGGACCACCATTTTCAGCTACCAAGTAAGAACCCGACAAGCAAAGTATCTCAAAACGCCCCTAAGTAGAAAATAACAATCTAACATAAGGTCCTTCAATAATTTTTATATTGTAAGATGGTCCAAACAGAACCCACGCTTGGCAGCCGTATGAAAAAAGTTTAAGGAAACACATCTATGACTGAACACACACACACATAGAGAGGCAGTAAGAAAGTTGCAGCTCCAAACTTCAAAGTTCGAGCAGAAAAGGGAGAAAAAACGCTGAAATGAGGAACCATGAAGAATTACAAAAAACTAAAGCTTCCTTGGATTTTCATTTTTCTTCAGCATATTATATTCATAATAATATGGTGATCAATGTCATGAATTTCCTTAAAATACCGTATCTTTATAGAAGTTCACCACAGATTACAGATATCAGTAAAATGATTTCAACCACAGAAAGCACAACCAAGCACTCTGCAATTTCAGTAATGGTTTATGACCAAAAGGTAAATCGTGAAAAACAATCACATTTTTCATTAATAGATAGATGACGAAAAATAATCAACCCATGGTTTTACATTATATCAGACAATGAGCAATGACATTAATTATTTTTTTTCCTTTCTGCAAACATAGTTATCGTCTTATATAAAGGGATTATAGCATCTGCAAACAGACAAATAAGTTAATATCCTTTAAGGAAACAAGATCTCAGCTTCCACTCAAGAAACTGTTAGATCTACAGTGAATAAAGAAAAGCTAGAATTTCAAATACGGTTACTTGAGGAGAACTATGCATTGAAAGATTTGTAACCTCATAAGTGACGGTGGCACCAGACGTGGTAGGCTGGCGTAACGTTATTGCAGAAACTGAACCATTACCCGACATAATACATAAAGCTCTCGCCCTCTGTTGTGCAAATGCCAGCACTTTTGCAGCAATATCCTGCCACCAAAAAGAGCACAGTTAGTCTAAAAAAATGAACTATGAAGTGTAAGGAGCAAAGAAATATGCAGCATGAGAGCCCATGTGCAAACACCAAGAGCTTATCTTATCAAGCAAAATCACTATCTTAACATCAAAATTATCTTAATTCAGTATCAGATCTGCAAAAATTGCACATGTATTAAATCTAAAGAAAGTTCATCAATGCAGAAACCAAATGGGGAGATTTAATATCAATATATTTGGAGAATTTATCCCTGGTTGAAACTTTTGGGTGGCAATTCTATATGGAAAATTTCAAGCTTCGTCTGGTCCGACAATTTTTTTTTTT